AAGTTTTTTTTTAGGATATATTTTAAATTTTTGAATGTCGATATTAGAATCAGCAATTCTATATATTACAATCTAATTCTTTTAAATATCATCTTGTAAATAGTTTTCGAGATACTTTATTCAATTATAAGATATATAAGATCCTTCAATCTGATTGATTGTATTCTATCAAATTTATTTCAAAATTATATCTTTTCTGTTATCGAAGCTGTATAATTTCTTTGTAGATTGTTAAGATTTAATATAAATAGAACTTTATTGATATAAACCTTTTATATAAAATATAGATAAATAGATCAATAATAAATCACTTATTTATAATATAATGAATTAATAAGAATGAAAGTAATTAGGAATCCAAATCTTTTTATTCCTTTGTTTGATACTTCTACTTTTGAAAAATTCATCCTTTCAGAATCTATTCTATTCTTTATCAATAGATAATTAATTTTATTTTCTTTTCTAATATGATATCCTTATAGATTAATCTTATATATTTTATAAACGATATAGTTCGATATACTTATAGAGCTCATTATTGTAAAAATAATAGATCGAGATATATACATCTTGATAGTATATTATAAAAAGGGAAGTAAAAAAGAAAACTAAATTAGATTACATTGTAATATATCATTTATAAAGAAAACAGGATTCACAATGGTTTTGGGGTTGATATTATATAAGTTCAAATGTATATATATAGAAGATTGATTATATTCAAAAAAACAAAAAACAAAAGCTTTTCTTTTATATCTAATTACAAGAGGTTATATGATTGATTAGTTAAAAACCTTTATATATTTGGTTTATAATTTCAACTTTCTTATAGTATATAAAAGAAGGATATTAAGGGTATTCAAAGAAGAGGAGTTGGAAGTGGTGAATTTACGATGGGGGCTCTTTTCCTGAGAGCCAAAAAGATCTATTGATCTCCCTCAAATCTCCATCATTACATTTTGAAATTTATATTTCGCGAGGAAACATCCACTGTCTAAAAGACAAAGAAAAGAACCAGTTCAGTCACGCAGCTCTGCAGCTCTATCAAAAAATTTCGTTTCTCTGAAATGCACGCGCGCATAGACGCCCGCAACGTCTTCACTGGGCAAAAGGCAATAAAGGACACACTGATTTTCAAGCGCGATGTATACAAGTATATCTGCTGTAGAAATACTTAAATTCAAATTTGTCCTTTGTCAATGAGTCCGGAATATTGAGAGTAGCTCGACTAACAACGCGCATATATTATCCGCGATTTCAGGTGCAATTGTGGGATACAAATATGATGCATCGAAGTCGGTGATACCTCCGATTACATTTATGGAATGGGCATGAGAATATGATAGCTCAAATTTTGTAAGTTTTTGGAAAATCGGAAGATAGGAAGGAAATTAGTAAGTGGCGAGGCCATTCACATTCATGTTTTTGAATGCGTTTCTGAAATAGAAATTTGATGCATCAGACTTCTGACCCAGAACCACTCGGATGCAGCTAGTTGTCTGGAAAACAAATCACTTTGGAATGTTTATGAAAGAAGGAATTCTGAAAATCTAAGTTTCTGGAACCAAACTTCTCCCGTGAAATCAGGGATAGATCTCCGTTCTCAAAAAAGTGATGGTTGAGATGCACATCAAGACTCAAGACTCAAGCGAATGCGAAATTCTCGCAGTTGTAATCACGCTAGGTCTCCGAGTCTAACTTTTGTATCAAGTCAGATTAAGATAATTATCATAGGAGTGATGATTCGACATTAAATTTATCCAGGCCCTCACGTCGTGGTTTTGACCGAGATAAAACTCATCTCGTAGTTACACTGCAGAATGTTGTAAAGGGAGGCGAGTTCTTTTCAACCTGGTTTTATGCGAGATGACTGTTGCTTGGTGTTTAATTTCGTTTAAGCGGGAGGAATATCAGTATTTTTGGGAAATGGAGAGAATGATTGGGAGGACTGAAAGTCCCGTAATACCAGAATGGCATTATGTGAGAAAGGTAGTTTAGCACCGACGTTAGGGTGAGATAAGTACATGAAGATTCAGGGCTAGTAATATGATTTTCAGATGCTGTGGAATGGTATGTAAAGCGGAAGTAGTACAATGAAAGGAAGGAATTGACGAAGATCAGATCAGAGAAATCGAAAGGCTTATCTTCGAACCAGATTGTTGGGCTTGTATGTCAAGTGATCCCACTATAGGACTCATCACAAATCTCATCATTTGTGTAGCGAATGCGAATGCAAATATAAGTCTCATATTGTGACAGAAAACAATTATACTTTTGTATTCGGCGCGAAAGGCTATGAACCGGTTTATTTTAGGAGACGGGAATATGACTTAGGTCAAGTGAGTGGATAGCGTTAAAAATTAGCGCAGGTTATGGAAAGAGGAGGGGATTATTATGTCAAATACATGACTGTGTATGTTGCGCAGAATTTTATGTCACAAGTGTGAGTTGTTGATCAAATAGAATTGCATTGTCGTCGGGCTTATATTTCATTAATCTCCGCTATGTGTCGTTACCACAATGGAAAGTTAACGTTTGCAAGGAATTAGGATGGAAGCGATCCAAGCTAGTCAATGGATTTTAAGTCAAAGGTCATGTAAGCTTCGCATATCAATCAAAGTTTTTATCTACCGAAGACCCTCAAATAACATTCACAAACCCCCATCTCCTCGGTGCCGCGCGTATTCGTGAAGTTAGTCAAAGGTCGGTACTGGTCAGCCGCTGTCAGATAGCACATGCACTGCTTTGGAGGATCCTATTTGTCAGTGCCACTGTAGTCTTTAATCATAACTTAAAAAGCAAATCTATCTTCGTTAAAAGAAACGGTCACTAATCCATAAATTAAAGGGGAGACGAGTCGGGGGAACAAATATTCTTCCCACGCGCAAAGTATATCAATACTGTATGACCATTTCTCCCGTTCTGTGTAGGCACTAGATATCAGAAATAATAAGCGAATATTTATATGCAAGCAAATTTGAGGAGATTGCACCTGCTGCGGTAACCGCATAGCAATTACTTGGAAAAGGTAAAATAATCACTTCAGTCCACGAAATTGGAGATAGCACTGCACAATTGTATAGCCGCATTATGATCACTTTCATAGTTCCACGGCTTTGATGGCGCAGCTTGCGTGAGATTAAAGGGTTGTGTTCACTTTAAAATCTAGAGTCTGCATCTCTTAGCATGGCTTTGTGGCACCCGTGGATGCGAGCTGAATTCACGGTTAAGGTTGCTTATACAGTAGTCATTTTACGTTTTAAGCTTTTTAAGCCGGGTGTGATATGGTCTAGGGTCGGCCCTTGCTGTCTGTGGAATTCTGGGGGCGGGGCAGAGAGGAAAAAAAATGTGTTTGTGCCAAAGGGGAAGAAGCTATTCGAAACGGTGAGCACTAGACACTATTACAAGATTGTGATTAGCCCACACACTAAGGGAGTCTATCCAACAATGGATATGGCATAGCCATACCAGTCATTGATTTACTCGCAAAATCCAATGAGAGTCAAGGTCAAACTCCTATGTCTTTACTTATAGCACGATCATGCTAGACAATATGAAATCAGCTACTCAGCAATCAGAAGAATACATGATTTTCTCAAGAATTCACCGTTTTCTCCTATTTGACGCCCTCCCACACTTAATCTTACTACCGGGACTATTTCTTCACCCTACTCCATTCTCCTGGATCCAACTTGCTAATCTTTGATAAGTAAATAATGTGCGCTTTGAGGCCATCAAAACAATGGCTGGGAAGAATTCGAATACCTTGGTTATGATGCTCGCTTGCACATGGTCTGCAGGGTTTAACGTCTCATTGGCAATAGGGTTAATTGTGACTATTCTGTGCCTCCTTGATTATGGTCCGTGAATCAGAAACCTCGAGGCTGGGCTATCATTAAAGTTTAGTGTAAGGGGAAAAATAACACTGGGGTTACTCTAGTATTCACTTCCGGAATATTTGTTATACACATCTCCTCGCTATTCCAGAAAGAACTCGCGGATTTTCATCCTGGTGGCACAGCAGCTTGGACCTATATTGGAATGGGAGAGATGTACCGGATTATTTGAAAAATTTGGTATCTACAGCCCCCTATCTTTATCTAATTCAGCAATATGTTGGTTGTGAAGACTATTCTTGTCTGTATCTGTGTGGATTTCTCGGGCAGCCGATGTGCATTTTAGCATTTTCATTGTATTATGGAAAGACCCCGTTCACTAACATCCTCCGTGTCTATCCTGAAATAAAATATACCTGTCTACCAATTAAATAACCTTACTCGGTGACTGAATCCACATTTTGCATGATTATTGGCTTTCTACCTGCACCTTGTCGGCCATGAATGCCCAATTCACATCCAATAGAAAGCGGAATACAAATATTGGATGTGTAACTTACGCTGTAGTGAGGCATTTTCCAATTCTACTATCCCTTCAACAAGATCTAATCCCCTAATTCATCCATTCCAATAATCAAATTTCACATCCTACACATGGTAGATAAAACTTCCAAGAGACAAATCCATCCCCCCCAACTCTTCAGCACAAACTTGAAGGAGAATTCTAGCACAAAATCAAAAACCATGATGAAGAAACCGTTAGAGCCAAGAAATCTAACCACAAACCCGCAACCTCCTCGAGCTCCTCACATCTCATCCTCATCACCCTGGTGCCCGTAAACAATGAATACAAACTGCCGCTCCAACAGAACCCAGCACTAAGCGGCGGAAAAGCGGCTTGAGATAGATCACGGCCCATGGTAGTGCTTATGTATTTCTCGCCTGCGTGATTTCCACGCCGCGGCGTTGCAATTACTCGATTGCTCAATTCCAACAGTTGGTATAACAGGGGTACATAAAACCAAGCTAAGAAAACGGGCCAAAAAGAATCCACACATTAAATTCGTGATTGTTATTGAGAATGCTGCGTGATGTGCATAACAGACATACTTGTAGTTAGTCACGAATCCTAGAAATTTTTTTTTTTATTAAATTTCAGGTTCTCTATATCTATAGCTAGTGTCTTTTCAAAACAAACAGAGCATCGGGTAGCAAGCGAAGTCAAGTCGTCCCGGAAAAAGCGGGTAGAAAATGAATGTCAGCGTTAATTACGGCTTAGAAATGGTAGCTAGCTAGTATGACTCGGGTACGTATGACTCGCATTATCGGGAAACGGTTGGTTTCTAGCCTTACAAGGAAGGTCCACGGAATTTATTTGGTGCTTGCTCGTGCATCCTTGCCCGCATGAGGGAAATGTCACTTGACTGTAATGTTTTCCAGTGTGTGGAAATCTATCTTTCGTGGGGTTTTTTACTTCACAGGTCTTGTCTGTTGTAAATTGTGTTATGGAAATGGAAATTATTCAAGCGTTGTTGATGAACTTGTAACTACTCAAATTCTGTGTTGGTTAAAAAGTGATAGCTAGATATATATATGTTGCCAATGAACGATTGAGCTGCTTATTTGAAACTATGTTGAAATTTATACAATGAATATATATAGGTTACTATAAGAAAGGAAAACCCTCATGACGATAATGTCAGTGTTTGCTGCCCGAGACTCGTCTCTATTGACGGCCTGCCTGTAAACTCAATTTTACTTCCTTCTACACAATGTAACTGCTGCTAAATGGTTCTATAGAAGATTGCCATACACACACACGCATATATATACCCAAACCTCTCAGAAACAAGAACTTCATTTGCAAGTAACTGTAGAAAAATGTAAAAGACACTAAAATCTGCCATCCTTAAATTCTTTACCTGAGCACCTACTTAGTTTCCCGCCCACACCTCTTGATGATTCTGCTGATGTTGTTGTGCATACATGATCTCTTGGTGTTGATGTTGTTGAAAATGGAGGGAACTGGCATCACTTGCAGTTCTACTCCTCAACTCATCTACTAATGTTTGCTCTTCATCCGTAAGACTGTGAATTTCACTACCTCCCTCATCATGATTTGGCCATGGAGTTCGTGGTTCCATCTTCACTTCATAGTGCATGTCTTCGGCATGCCTGCATAGTGCATAGTCTGATGGTGCGCATGATCTTTCGTCGGGAGGGAACATTTCGTTGAACTTCCTTTGTACGGCTTCCTTGCTCCATTTCTCTTGGACTCCGTGCCTCATCATGCCTTTTGCGATTTCTTCCCATTTCGCTCTATCGTAGTCTTCCCAAGCAAGTGTCAAAGCTCGCTCCTAACCTCTTGTTAGCTTCTTTGTCGTCTGGATTAATAACAGATCTGGTCAAAATACATAATGAGCTAGGGATGTACCTCGCAATTGGTCCAAATACGGAGACGTTCACAGAGTCTCTTCTTGCGCATTTGCAGAGCGGGCACTTTCATGCTTTTGCCCGTCCTCGCATTGAACTCTTTAGCAATTTCTTTCCAAGGAAGACCATCGACATCTGAGAGTTGCATGAGAACTTGTTCCTCGTGGTTAATCGGCACCGAATAAATGATTTCCTCATCAAGTTGTGTGGGAGAACTCTTCCTCTTCCTTCGAGTAGGAAGCGGGGCAACTTGTTGCTCGAGCTGGTGATGTGATGTCGAATGATAGGAATTCATTGACGTGGAAATGGAATGCATAGAATTCATCGAATCATGACGACCATATGGTAAACCGTCCCTGTATGGCATCTCTCCAGGTCTGGTTGCAGGCCGCATTGTGTTTGGGTTGGGAGCAATCAATATTGGCGCGGAGTTATTGACTTTGTAGCTCCCTGGGCTTTGATCTGGTGTGGCATGGCGTGATTTTTGTAGATCAGCACTCATAGCACTTGAAGATGTATTTCGAGGGCTGGTGTTCATATCAGGAGATTTCAACTCGGCTGATCGTCCAGATTTTGGGGTAGCAGAAACTCCATATGCACCGAAATGTGGGTTAAGATGGAGAAGGCCAGGAGGAATGGGATAATTGGACTCGCTGGTGGGAATCTTTGAATTATTGGAACTTGGCTGTTTTTGCTTCATAGGTGCGGTATCAAATCTTGATCCAAAGTCGTCCTCGTCCCCGCCAAAAAGTGGATAACCTGGGGATTCCATGGATGGCGATAATTTGATATTTCTCTCTCTGACTGTGGGTGATGGCCTTGAAGAGATATCTGGCGATGGTGCCATTGTGATAGGTGTGATTAAAGATGAACCGTAATGAGCCGGAAGATTAAATGATGAAACCTACAACTCAGATTAGAGGCTGCCGCCCATGCCATAATGAAGATAAACGTACAGCACTGTAAGGTGTCCAAGGAATATCTGAAGCTCTATTGCTCGAATGACCAGCACTATGAGAGACATTATGGCTGCCACCAAAGGCAGGTTCCCCCATGGTAGTCATCTTGAGACGCGGCAGAAGAGGCTTCTTGAAAATAGTTGGGGATTCAACAGGAAGAGAGTCTTCGAAGAATGTAGGAGAAGGAATAGGAGCTGGTAAAAATGCTTAATAAATGGAAAGAGGATAGACGAGATCTACACAGGAGAGACGGGGTCTTACCAGAATATATGTCAACCATTTAAAAGTTATTCGGTGAGGCGTAATTATATAGTTACAATCGTATCGATCTGCCTGACAATGTCGAATCAAAGATAGAAGGCTTGCTAGCAAGTAGAAGATCGATGACTTCTTTTTTATGCCAGCCAGTACCTATAAGTCTAAACAGAATGAGAGGCACAGCGAACTCAGCCCTGGTCACTCATTGGGCCGGGGACCATAGGTGGCAGTGAGCAGGAACAAGGTAGCGCCTTAAGCTAAACAAAGTGGGATATGCGTGTGAGCAGGGGAGGGGGTAGCCGCCGGGATATGAGGGGAATTCCACGGTACTTGGTAGCAAATGTGAGTTGAGCGCTGGGAGCCTTAGCCGACTTAGCCTTTAATTATCGCTATCCCATTTAAGTATAGTGGTACTTCAAGCTTAAAATTAAGAAGTATAGAGCACCCCAGCAGGTGCAACGGCGGCTGGTGTTGTTACACAACCTTGTCTGTTACCCATGTCAAATTTCATTATCGTCTCCCTGAGAATGATGAGATAGTCAAAGCAGACCCTAAGGTTAAAATTTTAGGCTATGCGCACTGTGCACTATGTTGTACGGAATGGATCGATCTGAAGGGTCCGGACCGAACGGCAGATGTTCTGCGAAATCTTTCATTTGATGATCAAGAGATCATTGGGTCGGTGATTATCCGATGAAGTAAATATGTTTTGCAATCGTATTTATTTGAAATTGTTCTCAGGACTTGCCTGTCTGTACCTCGGTAGAAGATAAAATTCTGGGTCTTTATTGCTGCAGGGAGGAAATCCTGTGTCACAGGCATAGAGGACATATTTTGTGGCCACCGGGCAGCCAGACGACATATTTTGGTACCACGGCCACTGGAGGGCTTAACCTTCCGCAAGAGTCTAAAGTTTCCATAAAATCGAGTCAGCACAGCTTTCCGCGGAAAAATCTCTTTGGAGCCTGCCATTTCACGGCGTATGTTTCATGCTTTGCTGAATCTGGCAAGGGATGCCAGTTCATTGTAACGTTGTTGAACCAAAGTAGCTAAGTGCTTGATCCCGAGGGTACGGTAACGGTCCCTCTTTCATGGCGGGGGTCAAAAAGTACTCGGGATATGAGCAAATCAGAAGCTCGACAAAAGGAGAGCCTGCGAGAATAATTAGCGTGAAGGGCGGCCTATGCGAAAGTAGGTGAAGAGATGTGGTGGGGAGGAGCCTTGTCAAGTTCATATGTTGATGGATTGAATGATGGATGGTTGATCAAGCGAAGCGAACAACTTTTCGAACCGCGCGCCTTTTGTGGGACTATGGTGGATTTTTGTCAGTCTGAGAATCACAAGTCTATGATTGTGCATTAGCGTCTTTAGACAATTGACTAATTTACCATCCTACCTAGTCTAAAAGGATGTACTAATTAATAACTTACGGATCCGTCATCTAAAAGATCCAATAATGTTTTCCCGGACGATCTCGAAGCGAATGCACTTTCCATCGAGCTTCCTTATGTATCTAGTGCTGATATAATGCCCAATCAGGATGAGACTACATGAGCTACATGCCGTTTGCACACCATATTTACATACGGAATACGGCATCTCAAGGCATGATGCTGGCGATGAAGGAGGTTAATGAATGAGTGAGTGAGTGATTGATACTTCTGTCTATAACTGTGACCCATCTTCCGAGATGCCCCCAGAGTGTGGAGCCCCCGACCTCGACTTTTCTTGCTTGTCCGAACCCCCTGTTTCCAATTTCTTCCCTTAAACATCCTAGTAACCGACTCGGGACTCTCAAGTCTCCAATCTTATCAACCCTAATTTATCTTTTTGTGATTGACACTGCATTAGTCGTTCGAATTGCAATTCATTTCAAAGATAAAAGGAGTTACGGAACGTTACACACAGCCTATCTCCTAGCGAGCCTAGAATTCAGCTACAAGGCACTAAGACGATAAACGACGCATATATGCCTAAGCTGAATGTAGGGGATACAAAGAAGCGCATTTGACGCCGTTTGCTTGTTGACTTGTTGACTTGTTGGCTTTTGTGTACAGCCGCGTCAATTAAAAGTTTGTCAGAACAAACAATTGACCATAAGCACAAACGCACACACAAATTCCTCTCTAGGGTGAAGACGGAAAAACCTAAAATCTTTGGGTGGAATTGGCAAGGAAAGTACGACTTGCACAGGATTCTGAAATGGGTTTAGTTAATCACCTCATTATTAACCTGTTAAACCAGTAAATCTACTCGGTCTCATCATTTTTTGGGGTTTGAGTGGTCGAAAACCAATTTTTCATCCCTGCTAGACTGAACCAGACTGTCGGTAACGACGCACGCAAAAACACGCAAAAAGATGCAAAAACAGGCAAATACCTTCCGTAACCAACCTTCTACTTTTTATACGGAGCGTCAGCTGGAGGCCACTGTGGGCCAATGAACTCGGATCCGGACGGACAAGTTTCGAAAGATACATTGTGATTTTCTCCTTTCACCAGCATGACAGAGGGGTATGGAGCATTAATTCCTCTATTTCCGTCGATCACGAATCCTGCTATTGAGGTGGTGCTTTCATATTCCTATTTTTCCAGTTGAAAATATATCATCAATCTCGGATTTGGCTCTTCGCCGCAGATAACAATCACGAATTTGACGGCCCATAAAGTGTGGGTGGTAAGATCATACTAAAACGGCATACGATAGATATATTGCTCATTTCTTGCCGAATGTAACATTTAACGGCTTTGCCCGGCAGGGTGGAACTTGGGGCTTAAGCATATGGAGATGAGCATCATGCTATGCGCAGCCACGTATGCAATAGTATCGATCGCCTGAGAAATCTCCAAATCATGGAATGCTGGGTACTTAGCCTAGAGAAATACTGGATACTTCTCCATCTCGATTTCGACGACTTGGGCGACTGCATCCCTCATCCCTCGTCCGTCATCCCTGAATAATTATCAATTGTCAACACGACGCAATGCTACATGATGCAGTGGAGAAGTAATTTGGTCGATAAGAGTCTAACTGAAATCCTAATCAGCAGGGTCCTGAGATTGGAACTTGTACTAGCTTTATCAATAGGATTCCGGCTCGTAATTCTTCAGCGAATGAGAGAGTACAAAAAGGAAAAAGGGACATTGTTATAATACTGGAGAAGGTGGTCATCTAAAACCTAGGACCTATCTGAACCCTGAAAATGTGAAATGGGAACGGAGATGTAGCCGCTGTTTTTCCATCACCTAACCGAACCACCACCACTTGTTCCAGCAATGCAGGACGAATCAATCCGGTCCCTTGGGTTGTAAGATTCCAGACCACTCATTCTCTTTCAATTACGGATATCAATGCAAAAATACACACCGCCAGAATCTCTAGTAAAACCAGGGTTTGGCAGTGTAAATCAGCAGCTAATTAGAGACTTTGGTCAGTCAGGATAGCTACTACATCTGTATGCATACTCCAAAAAGGCTTAAATTTTCTGTCTCTACCAATCTGTCGGTATGAGACGGATGCTCACGCGTGTGACGGAAAAGCTTAACAGCCAACCAGTTTCATGCGAGATGAAGACACGATGCACCTAGTGTCTTAGCTACTGATTTCGGATATCTTATCATAAGGCTGCGTTGATGAAAGAATTCATCGGCAGATAGCTAGCTCCAGAAGCCCCAAAAAATGTCCATGTGAATACAGTAAGCACTTGGGAATGCTCACTTCGTCGAAGGATCAATTGTTCCTTCTGTGGTGGCAGTAGGGATTTTGAAGTCAACCCAAGTCACTCATTAATCCTGGCCATAAACTATCTTATCGGTAGGTTTAACCACACATGGTGTAAGTTGAGAAATGAGTCACTTCATGAACCCCAGATTTTGAACTGCAATTAACAAGCATGGCATCGACCCGGAGAGAAAAGTTCCTGTTGATGACTTGGCAACAACTTGTTCCTGAGCTTTTGCAAACAAGGATAGGTGCGTGGCAACGGCAATATTGGACAGGACACGATTTTAAGCTAATGTTGGTACATGACACATAACAACCCAAATTTACCCCTGTGTGCCACCCCCTCCCCCACAGAACGTGATTCTATGTCCAGTCAGTGGGGCTGTGAAGCTTGAGGTTTTGAGAGTATTATTCATCTTGAGCTTTCAGGATGGAAGAGCTGAGGGAAACCAGTTACTAACACTGCCACGAGATGCGTCATATCACTTCATATCACAACCCTTGCGTTGATGTTCATAAGATTTCCAAACGTTCTTGTTTGTAAGATCTTACAATGTCCTCTAAAATATATACTCCATGCATTCATACAGTCAGTCTACGAACACGAGCTAGAGACGTCTTTTTCCCATACGATAAATGTTGCAACCAAGAATGCCTTCACACTATGAAGATGATTTCTAGGTATTCTATAGAAAAGAAGGCACTTCTCATCCAATCCATTAAGACACGAGTGGCCGCATAGTTGATGACCTCTGTTGTAACATCACCACACCCTCAAAACGAGAGAGATGTTTCACAACTGCAGTCGCCTTTCTCAACGCAACCCAGAAACTTGAGTCACATCCACATCCACATCACAAGATAGCTTGATCTCCAAGTTTTCTTTGACCACAGCCAACAACAGTACACCCTCAAATTTCTATAATGCCTTGCAATAGATAGAGCTTGTTTCAGAGATGAAGAAAGTTCAGGCTCTCCTACTCATCCACTAGGTCGGAGCCCACCTCAAATGATGCTACTTCAGTCGGATAGTTTGAATTTCGAAGGAGTTTATCTAGATTTCTTTCTTTTTTCAATCGAACCTCACATCTTTTGGGTCAAGCCTGCTAACAATTATCCGAGACAATATATCTTCAAAGCAGACATTTCACAACTCAGATCCTCGATCGGTGGTTGTGCCACACTACACAACATGTTCCATCCCGTTAGAGTCCATATTCAATTAGTCATACAAAGAACGAATCAATAAATCAGACAATTTTCACATTAAAGTTACGAGTACAAATACAAATACATTGAAACATACATTCACGATCCTCCATTCTCAGAAATCTCAAACCACTTTCCTACCACCAAAATTCATCATCCCATCATCATCATAACCGATATCCCACAATCATAATATCACATCTCCACCATAATCCATCCACCAAAAATATCTCAAAATAACTTCACAAAGCAATATATATACATGGTCGATGCTCAATCCTTCAGAATCCCAAGACCAAGTCCAAGTCCAAGTCCAAGCTTCCTTCCTTCCACCCCACTTCACGCCCATCTTCCCCAGAAACAATATCATTACTCCAAAACTAACATTTTCAAATCTGTAATAGATTAATAACTAACATGCACAATTACTGCGATACTAATGGGGATATACGATGAAGCATGTATGAACTAATCATCTCC